GGTTCTATTGCTCTAGTATAAGCATTATAAATTCTGGAGGTGTAAAGTCAATGTCCATAAGGTATATAAAATTTTACGTATGATGTAGTTTGAACATATCGCTTGAATTGACTTAGGAAATTATTTTCTAATAGAATATCATTCCCATGCTCGTTGCTTTCATAGACTCGGGGAATTATAACTTTATTTCCACCAATTACGGTAGTAACTCTTTCTATTATTGTTTTATATTGAATAATACTTCCATCTATAACTATACCTTTCATAGTTTGAGAGGTGTTCCTCCAATAATAGTTTGGGAATATATTGGTTTTGGGTAAACATATCCCAGACCTTGTATCTATAAAAGCATGAAAGAATTCTATTTTGTATTCTTCATATTTGATTCCGATGGATATGTATACGCTATAGATACTAGTCTTCATAGTATCGAGGTATAAACATTTCTTTTTCACTTAAGGTAATCTTTAAACAATGTTCTTGGATATTATAGGGTTGTATCGATGTTAAGAACGTATTTCCTAGCATTAATTCTATACTTATAGTCATTTTTGTTTCAGCATGAGTTGTTATAGTGATTTCATGTTGTATCTTATTCTTATCCTTTATTTTAAGAGGTACTTTAGCATATTCATGTATTGTGGTCATTATACCATTAAAGTTGTAGTATGTGTATGGCTTAGTGAGTTCAAATCTTGGTAGGTGTGGGATCATATCACTATGGATATGTGTTACTCCTGCTCTTGTATCTATTAGGATAGAAATGTTATGCCATTCTTTCCCATCATATTTAAGGTGTATAATACCACCTCATGTTTTATACTAGTTGTTCTAGTTAAGACCTTTTTATCTTTCTTAGGATAGTGTATAACTCCTAAGTCTACACTATTTCTATGGCTTGATTCATGTTCTGTTTTGACTAATAGTTTTCTTGACTCATATGCCATTAGTCTAGGCGTTTCTCTTTCTCCTATTAGGAGTGGTTTTTCACTAAGGTCTATTTCTCATTCTTTGGGTAATTCTATTTCAGTGATCATTTCTGGTTTTTGAATTTGTCACATTTCAAAGAACAAAGGATCTAATTCAATGTATTCTTTATATTTAAAAAGATTAGATTGATGACTATTAATCAATGCATAACTTATCATATAGTATATACTATATGGCATTGATCCATCTTTCATAAAGTTTTGTCTAGCAAATTCATGTGTTAAACTTAAGGTTTTATTAATATTTCTATCATTAATGTTTACAACGTATTTTGGATATACCGTAAACATAAGTTTCTATAACTAAGGTTACCTTGCACTAATCCAAGGATAGCATCCTTTCTATTATTGATTCTGTTATTTATTAAAGCTAATTTTATTAGGGTGTCTTTTCCTTCTCCAAAATGAGCTTTAATAAGTATTTGTATTCCTCCAATGTGGATAAAACTTATCCTTGTTCTATCAACTTCTTTGATTTTTGATAGTTTGCTTTTTATTTCTGCTTTGATAATCAAAGGTATATTTAATATTCCCATTGTATTCATGATAGGAATGCTATATTCTTTAGTGGATATTCCATGATAAACTATATCTTTTCTTTTAAAAGGATTACTTATAAAGGAATTTGGTTTGAATCCTTTTTCTAAAGCAAGGTCCATTCTCTTTTGTCTAATTCTTTTATATTTACTTTTATCGAATATAGTTATTTGACTATATTCTCCATGTCCTTCATATTCTTCAGAATAAGCTTCTCCTTCTTCAATATTTTGATTCATCACTACTAGAGGTATATAAACTTTCCTCTTCATTTATACTTTCTTCGCTACTTATAGAGCTAGTATCTATTTCACTTAGTTCTTCTTCATAAATTTTTAGGTTTTTAGTACTTTCTCTTTTGTATCTTTTAGGACATTCATTTGCATAATGCCTTTCTTCTTTACACAACCAGCATGTGCATTTTTTAGGATTCTTTTTATACTTTTTTGATGTTTTGGTCTTCTTAAAATACCTCTTTTTCTTTCTAGAAAATTTGTTCTTATTAAACCTTGTTTATTATTTCTTTTAATTCTAAATTTCTTATTTCCCTTGTTGTAGTTGGCGTAATTACATCGTAACTTGATTGGATCACTATTCTTAGGACAACATAGTCCCTTTTTCATACTTTTTCTTAGTTTGTTCTGGCTTTAGGTTTCTAGGCACCATTCATTAATTTGGGTTTTAGCGAACCAAATCCTTAACCCTAAAGTATCTTTCTTATCTTCCACATATATTCTATAGGCTTTTGCCAATTTTATTCCCCAAGGATTAGGAATTTTTTCAAAAAATAATTCCATTAGGCCTTTAGTAATTCCATGATTTGAAGCTTTATAATAGTATTTCTGAAATAGACAAATGTATGTTGACTGAATGTACTCCAAGAGGGGGGTGAATTGGAGTTCCAAAAATTCTCCCCTTTTTCAACCACAAAACTCAAATTAAAGAGAGTAGAGAAAAAGAGCTTGCACAATGAATTTATAGAGGTTTGGTCCAACCACTTGGAGCCTAGTCCTCTACCTTAGCTTCACTCACCAAGGATTTCCTCCACACTCTTCACTAAGAAAGACAAGGGTGGCTTAAAGGAGCCACTCAATCCTTTTACAACAAGATGAGTATTTCTCTCAAACCTCACCCCTTTACAATGTAAACCCCACAAATCCTCTCAATAGATCACTTGAAGGAATAGTCACACCCCCAAGATTACTTACAAATAGAACAATAAGAGGATTACAAATAAAGATTTCTCAAAGATCAAAATCTCAAGTTAAAGCACAAGTTGGTAGTTAAAGATATTCAATACAATGCTCTTTAAACTTCGTTAGATTTGTTACCAACCATATTTATAGCCCCTTGCTAAAAAATAGTTGTTTCTAGCCGTTGGGGGTCATTAAATGCCCTGCAGGACACAAAGCTCGAGCTGCAGGATTGTCAGGAGAGTCGGCTTACACTTCCAGAGCCGGCTATGCGGGTTTGCAGCCCATTTTGTTTTTCTCGAGAGTCGACTGCAAAACTTTGAGCCAGTTTTGAAACTCCGACTTTAAATACATTAAATGTTCTTCAAAAGAGTCGACCGTTGTGCATTAAATGCACCCTCACAGCCGGCTGCAAAGTTGGAGCTGGCTTTGTGTCTTTTCTCCGCGCGCACCAAACAACGGTCTTCAAATTTTTGCCCGTAGAGCTGGCTGCAGCTTCTAGAGCCGGCTCTCTGCACATTTTGAATCCTTTTGGTTTATTTTTAGTGCAATCCAAGTTTACTTGCAATCTTTTAGCAACCTACACACTTAAATAAACCAATTAGTCACTCAAATGTGTTTTGTAATCATCAAAATCATAGGTATAACAATCTCCCCCTTTTTGATGATGACAAAACACTTTGAGAATTAATTAATGAAAGCACATATATATTTCAATATTAATCAGAATTTCAGCACAAGGTACTCTAGAAAATGACATTAAATTCAGCATATTCTCTCCCCCTTTTTATCATTCATCAAAAAGCACATAATCAACAAACTCCCCTTTAATTCCTGCACATCAATCTTTAAAGCATTTAAGCATGATAACCATTAAGAAAAGTAATTTAAGCACAAAATGCTCCCCCTTAATTCATGTTACCAACCTTTAAAGCATCAAGAATATGTAATGAATATAATCATCAATCATCATCAATATAGCACCATAGATAACCAAAGTCATGAATACAATCATCAACCAATAAACTCCCCCTCAATAAGAGCATATAATCATCAAAATCATAGACAATCAATACCAAAAGTCATAAACTACAAGAGAGCCAGCTCTAGTCCTGGAGCCGACTTAATTCTAGAGAGAGAAGCCCGAATATTTAAAAAGCTGTAGGAGAGCTGGCTCTAGTCCTGGAGCCGGCTTAACTTTAGAGAGAGAAGACTCTCGGGTGTTTTGGTGGAGTTGGCTCTACTGGCCTTGATTGGGACAAACAGAAAGTTTGGGGCTGTTTTGAAGGGAATGCACCTTAATTTGATATTTCTTCATTTAACTAAGTTTAAATTGAACATCAACTACTAAATTATCCAACTTTAGTCATATATCAATGTATTCATCATCAAATAGCATGAATATGATCAAGGTACACAAATCAAAGCATCAATATACACAAATTCTAATAATCAAATTCATTAATTTCAAAAATCATATCAAGCACTAGGAAAGACACATCAAATGGAATCAGACTCAACAAGCATATGTATCAAAGAGTGAGCACACATAAACCAATAATTAATAGTCATGCTAATGTAATTATACTCAATGAATAAATGCAATAAAATAAATAATACCAATTTGAGCACATGAGTGGAGCATTCAAAAACATATTTCCTTTGCACTTCCACTCCAACATTCTTGTTGAGGCATAAGTCTTTTTAAGATCTACTTTGCTTTCCTTTTGACTTTGCCATCAACTTTTCCTACAAAACAAAATTAAGTTTTGATTTTTGGTACCCAAATTTGCTTGGGTCCATGGGGGTTAGTGCTTAAAGTTCCTTTTGGAACCCAAATTTGCTTCACTTTACATTGAGCTATCAATCTCTTCAAAGGACATACATAAGCAAAGTGTCCATTTGCACCACAATAATAACAAGTAACATTAGGATGATAGGATTGACTTGCTCTAACAAAAGTAGTCTTAAAAGTCTTTTGCTTTTTAGAATAATCAAATCCAATGCCCCCTTTGTCATAAACGTTTCTTTGAGATTTTAAAATAGAATCAAATTTTTCTTTACTCAAAGTAAATTTAGAAATCACATTCTCAAGATCACAAGCTTTTCTCTTTAAAACCTCATTTTTCTTCTTTAAATCTTCATTTCCTTTCTTTAAATCCTCATTTTCCTTTTTCAAAGCATTATTAGACTCCTCATTCTTTAAAGAAGCAATCTCATCATTTAAAGAGGCATTCTCTTTAACTAAAACCTCATTTCATTTTGAGAGAGATTCAATTTCATTCCTAAGCAATGAAATGGTTTTAGTAAGAGCAATATTCTCATTTCCTAGTTTCTTAATGTCATTTATAGAGCAATCAAGAACTTTGCATAAATCATCATAAGAATACTCAAAAGAACTTTCATTAATTGAACTACAGAAGTTAGAGTTTACCTCCTCATCATTGTTGCTATCCTCTTGAGCCATGAAGCAAAGATTTGCAACACCATTCTCCAAGGAGCTTTCACTTTCCATTGAGCTAGCCTCATCATCACTCCAAGTGGCGGCAAAGGCTTTCTTCTTCATGCTCTTCTTGTTTTTCCTTTCACCCTTCTTCAATTGAGGGCATTCATTTCTATAATGCCCCATCTTGTTGCACTCATAGCATTTGATATGCTTCTTGCTTGGCTTTCCTCTATCATCATCATCACTACATATTCTTCCTCTATCATAGTGAAGTTCCTTGTTTCTTCTAGAGGATGTCCCTTTAAGGCTCTTCTTCATGTATTTCTTCACTTCTTTTGAAACCAATTTGGCGATGTCGTCCTCATTGCTAGACTCATCATTACTAGCATCATCTTCACTCTCTTCCTTTTGGTTGCTAGCCTTGAAAGCAACATTCTTCTTTTTCCTCTCAACTACTTCAACTCCACCATCAACTTGAACTTTTATCTCATAAGTCATCAATTTTCCAATGAGATCTTCAAGCTTGAGGGTATTGAGATCCTTAGACTCTTCAATTGCGGTCTTCTTGGCTTCCCAACTCTTAGGCAAGCTTCTAAGAACCTTTCTCACCACTTCTTGAGGAGGATAGACTTTACCAAGAGCCTTGAGATTGGTGACTATATCATTCAATCTTGTATACATATCTTGAATGCTCTCCTTCGGTTTCATCTTGAAAAGCTTATACATGTAAATGAGTCTATTGATTTTTGACTCCTTTACTTGGCTTGTTCCTTCATTAGTGACTTCTAGCATGTCCCACATCTCCTTAGCCGTATCACACCCGGAGACTCTATGATACTCTGTTGGATTGAGAGCACATTGAAGCATACTAATTGCCTTGTTGTTGATCATGATCTTCTCCAAGTCTTCATCATTACATTCAACTTATTCTTTTGGCACCTCACTTTCCCGAACTACTTTCATAGGCACATATGGACCTTTCATAGTCACAATCCATGCCTTGGGCACATTTGCAAGCATGAAGACCTTCATCCTATTCTTCCAATAATTATAATTAGTACCATCAAAGAAAGGAGGCTTAGTGGTAGACAAACCTTCAAGTGGTTGAGAAGATTGAAATTGAGCCATCCCCGATCAACTCCTAGGTGGTTAAGCCTTCAAGTTGGAGCCCTTGCTCTGATACCAATTGTTGACTCAATGTACTCCAAGAGGGGGGTGAATTGGAGTTCCAAAAATTCTCCCCTTTTTCAACCACAAAACTCAAATTAAAGAGAGTAGAGAAAAAGAGCTTACACAATGAATTTATAGAGGTTCGGTCTAACCACTTGGAGCCTAGTCCTCTACCTTGGCTTCACTCACCAAGGATTTCCTCCACACGCTTCACTAAGAAAGACAAGGGTGGCTTAAAGGAGCCACTCAATCCTTTTACAACAAGATGAGTATTTCTCTCAAACCTCACCC